AGTTCCAGGAATGCTTTTATAAATAGAAATGATGCTGGATAAAGTGTGTGGTTTCAGAAGGGGGCTATTTTGAAGGAGATTAACTGCCAAATTGATATGTAGTTTTCTTTTTATAGCATCAGTCCTGGTACTTTTTGATCAGACCTCATATATCTGGAACCAATTGGTGAAAAAAATAAAACATGAGTGTCTAGATACCTTCTGTCAATGGTCTATACCCCAAGTTGGGTGGAAGGTATTAAAAAAATTATAGTTGAGATGACTGTCATGCTGTTATTGATAATAGTGATTATTACTTCTATGATGTTCCTAGTTTTAAGAGGAAAATCATGAATGGAAATATTTTGGTTGTTAATAGGTTGTGTGTTTGTGTCTATTTTAGGTATGTGCATATTAACATATGAAAAAAATGAAGATAGAAGCATACAAAACCTTGGGTTTCTACTATGGATGTTTATTCTTTTTATGGTGACTACAGTGGAACAATCTCTTCTGTATGTCTGTTTTTTTTTTGGGGTCCAGAAGATATGGTAGATAAGTATAAGTATTGTATTCATGGTCGAGCACAAGTCAGACTTGCACAGAGTTGGAACAATCAAAGGAAAGTTTCTACTTACTTTATTGTTGGAAGGTTTAAATATGGTTATGGAATGTCCATTTTCTTTTTCTTAGTCCAGAAGTTAGGGTAAGGCAATAAAAGCATTGTTACTATGGTCACAATCAAGTCAGCCTTGTGCTGAGTTGGTACAACTAAAGAGAAAGCTTGACCTACTTCATAAGTTGAGGTTTTTGGAAAACATGTGCAAGTGCTATGCATCAGAAAGTGGGAAGAGAGTTCAGATTTCAGTAGACCGGGGAAACTAATCTTCCTCAGTGAGAATGCAATCACCACAATGTGTTAGATCTTGGAGATAAGAGGAAAAAGAGAGTGAAACAGGAAGTTTTTGCCTTTTTATAGGCTTCAACATCATCACCTAACAACGTTTGACAAAACCAAGTGGGGTAATCATGTTTCTAGTTCCTTTACTCTTAGCATTATGGGAAAATGTATTTCTTTTTCTTTTATCATTCATTCTTGGTTATGCCTGCTTTCATTTTGGTCTAGGAGTTAGGGTAAGTAAGTATAAGCATCCTATTAATGGTTGATCTCAAGTCAGCCTTGTGCTGAGTTGTACGGACTTTATTGTTGGAAGATTTAAACATGGTCATGGGATATCTGTTTGCTTTTTGATCCAGAAGTTAGGGTAAGTAAGTATAAGCCTTGTTACAAGGGTCAATCTCAAGTCAACATTGTGTTGAGTTGGAACAACCAAAGAGAAAGATTGACTTACTTCATTGGTGTAGGTTCTTGGAAACACATGCAAACATTGGGCATTGGAAAGTGAGAAGAAAATTCAGTTGTCAGTGAATCAGGGAAACTAACATTCCCCAGTGAGAACATAATTACCATGTGGTTCTACATTTTGGAGCAAAAGAGAGCAAGGCAGGAAAATGTTTGTCTTTTTATCGACTTAACCAGCACCAAGTGAGGTAATTATTATATTTCTGCTTCCTTTACTCTTACCATCATGAAAAAATGTATTTCTTTTTTGGGTTTTATTATTCATTATTATACAGGTGGCAGCATGGTGGAGTAATGGAAAGCAGCTTTGATTGAGGACATCAGAGAGCCAAGTTTGAATTCTAGTCATATCCATTATATTCATTTATATGCTAATACCCTTGGGAAAGGTATGAATCCTCTTCTTCTCCCCCCCCAGCTATGGGTAAATAGCAGGACAGACTAGGTTCTATAGCCTTAGATGGCAAGTGGTCTAACATAGAAAGAAATGGCAACCAACTGCAGGAAAAAAAATCTGCCTCATCAGTTATGTATCAAAAGGTACATGATCGCCTAAGCGTGTATCACACATGGCACATAACTGAACAGATTCATTATTATTTTATTTATTGATTTTATTTCCTTTTCCCACATTATCAATACTTTTTCTGTATTGGGAATAGAAGACTTGAACTATTTCTCTCTTTAAAGAACATAATGAACTCCACTTGTTGGAGTCTATATGGTACTTCATTCTGTCAGATAATAAAGTCTTAGTCTCTTTGAGGTCATATTTACAATAATTACAGGGGTACACAAAGAGGCACAGTTCTCAATAGAAAAGTTAAAAATTTCACTCCAAGGTGTGTTACGAAGAAAATCACAAAATGAATCCTAATCAGTATGCTGGTATCAGAAAGAATAGGAAGTTTATGTCTAATAGATGAGTCAAAAGAAATATCAACAGATACTATAGCATGATCCGATTTGCCAAGAGGACAGAGTTGCAATGCTAGACAAGAGCTAGGAGAGGAGATAAGGAACAAATCAAGTAAAGAAGCATGTTGATCAGAATTTTTAGTGAACCAGTAGGGAAATCTACTATTTCATTGAGAGACTGAAGAATAGAAAAATTGAAAGTCTGAATACCAGCAACATCAATAATATTAGAATGATTAAGCCACTTTACATGATGAGCATTAAATCACCAAACACAAAGATGTTTACAAATAAACCTAGAGAGGGAGTCATATTGGTACTCTCAGATATTTTATCTAACTTGTTACAGTCCTGAGAAGAAGAGGAGCAATAAAGGTAAAAAAGATAGCTAACAAAATTCAATAAAGGAAGTTGAAAGCACATGAAATAATCATCTGGCGACAATTCCCTTGCTAATGGATGATTTTCCTGTGTAAGGCCATTCATATGTTACCTAAAATATTGTCAGCAAAGAGGAAGATAGCTTGGAACAGATAATTCATTAGTAGCAATAGAAGAGTTTGAATTAGTTTTGCAAGGTGCTAAGATATCTTGAGACTGTTTCAAGAGAAAAGATTCTGTACTATAGAAATTGGAAAAAATATCATAAATATTGAAGAAAGAAAGTTTGAGAGGGTGGGAAGGTGGATTTTTGTTTAATTTTATTTCTTTTAATTGTAACTGTCATGAGAAGATTGTTTTAATTTTTAATGACAAAAAGGCCAAGATAATTATCACTGTCCATCATCTATGACAATACAAACTGGCTAAGACTAAAGCATAATGTAGCCTCAGGGTTTCTCACTGGAAATACATGCAAGGACACCTATCCATGCATGACATGGCATTGCAAATACCCCAATATTATGCAACTGTTGACCAGAGCAGCCTCTATAAGTGCTAAAAACGTTTGGGCTCCTTACTACCAATTGGGATACAGCAACCAGAAAACTGCCAACCCAGTACCCTCAAAATGAAAAGTTGCAGTCACTGGTCAGTCAGATCCCAAAAAAGTTAAGATATTTTAAATCATTAAGGCTATGAAAGAAAGGAAACGGTAAACCAAATCCTAAACATGAAACGAAGGATAAACTTCTACTACTGTTTAATAAACATGGAAGGAGTGTGGACCGGGCAGCAGGCAAACCTATCCACTCCTATTAACCTGTTCACAGCACAGGAGGCTGGATGCTTTTATTGAGACACCATCTCCAGGCCAAGGGGGAATTACTAAATTTTTAAAACCTCACTAAAGGTTACTCCAGGAGTTGAAATCTAATGATTAGCAAGGTTGATCTGATATAATATACAATATTAATCAATAATAGTATATGCATATTTATCCAGAAATAAATTTATTAATTTGTTTTTAATGAATTTTTTATTTCATGCTATGCAAAAACTATCATCATAAAAAGGTGAACTAAAAACAGTTTTTTCAAAACACTTCAACAGTTTCTGGAATATAAAAATTTGGTATTTACACTTTATTTCTTTTCTTTTTTTCTTTGTTGATGAGTTGAATATTTTTACAAAGCCAATATTTTTACCATTCCAACTTTTCACAATATAAACTGTTAGTAAATAAATAAATAAAGCACTAAAGAGATAAGCTGATTGGATCAGTTCAAAAATATTCCTGGGATTTTCTATTATAAAAAGAGCCAAAGAATAACTTTGATGAATAAAAATTCTATTTATAATAAGTCTCTTTTTAAATTCCAACCCACTTTCCTCATTAATTTTTTTACATTTCTCATACATTTTGAAAATTTTTTCATATGATTCTAATTTTAAAAAATATATTGTTGTCAAAAGAATTCTTTTTTTTTAAAATGAAATTTAAAAATTTGAAAAAGAAATAAGTTTTAATGATAACTATATTTAACATCAGTCTTTGTTTTAGAGTTTTGAATCGTGATCAGCTTTTTAGAGCCAATTAGCTTTTTTCTAATTATTTACAAATAATGATTCCTGCTTTTTTGATTGTACCAGAGATGATGCTAATTAAATCATTTGTTTTTTATTTTTTTATCCAGTCAAGTACCTTTTCAAATTTGAATTACTTTCTGTGACTCTTTTCCACATGCAGTTTTTTTATTGCATCATTCTCTTTCATTTAAAGAATAAGAATTAAAATTATAACAGAAATTATTTAATGATAGAAAAAAGAAAGAAAATCTCAAAAAAAAAAGTTTGATAATCAAATCAATTCCATATTAAAACAGTTTGTATAGTTTTTCCTAATAAGACGGTATATTGAATTTCTACATTCAAATCACATTCCTAAAATATTTATGTCTATATTCAGATTTAAAAAAAGTGTATCCATACTTTTGTTAACAACAGAAATGCGTAAGTGTTAATCATTACCCTTTTGCACTACCGTAGTTGGTTAACGTGAGTCGTCAGCTAGTTCACGTGATGCCGCTGCCGCTGCTGCTTCTTCAGTTCCTGCTGCTCGCCATTTTGGAGTTAGTAGAGCAGCTGAGGGTCTGGTAGTAGTAACATCATCCACCCCCTTTTCTTAGGCCTACTTTCTCCAGTTTTCACAGCAGCTTCCAGTTGGTACGACCACCTGGTTGGCTGCGGACGGCTATTGCGTCCATTTTTACATTTTTTTTATTAACCCGGTGTTTGGTTGTTTCTTGGTAAACACTTGCAAACACACATCAGCCTCATCATGTCTGGACAGAGTATCATGGACCGCGTGAATGCGGCCAGGCATAGCATCTCTGGTCAGGGACTAGCCAAGTCGGTGTGTAAAGCAACCACCGAGGAAATTATGGGACCCAAAAAGAAACATCTCGATTGTGAGTACAATTATTATAATGATGTTGATGATAATGATGATAATGCAATGTTTCAGCGTTAGCCATTATTGTTAGTTTTTCTCTCTCTCTAGTCTAGTTATATAATTCAAAAGTTTTTTTTTCTCTCCTCATGTTTAAATGTATCTAGTGTCATTTTTCTTACTATGGTGGGGTGTGGCAGGTCACTAATTCAATTAATTTTACTATTTTCTGCTTAAAAATTAAGCAAGATCTTAATATACTGTCATTTACCAGTCTTTATCAATACGTGCCAATGTCCAAGAATATGTTGTGTCTGTTCATGTTGATTGTAACACTACTTTGAAAATTTGAAATAGTTTGATACCCCCTTTTTTTTTATTTGTGTATGTAAATATATATATATATATATAAGCATGGGAAATACTCACAATACAAGGTTAGCTTGCAAACAACTCTGCTTAATCGACTGTTTTATTTACTTTTTATTTAATTTTTTAAATCTGATATTGCAGAAATTATGAAGAATATATACAGCCTTTTCTTTTCCTTTTCACTCTTCTCTCTTTTATTCACACCGCCTCTTTATCGCCTTTCTTTCACTTCCTCGTTCCCCCCCTGCCGTCCCATACCCCCCATTTACTTCTGTTCCTCTCCGCCTCTGTCTCTCTTTCTCAAATGCTGCCTCCCGATCATGCCCCTCACACATCCTGACAAGTCTTTCCTACAGCCCCCCCCAGATTTGTCGAGAGCTCTTTTAGTTTCTGACCCTTTTTTTTTTTTTTTTTTTTTTTTAGTTCCTTACCATCTCGACTTTTAAACGCTTCTTCCAACACCCTCAAACGTTGTTTCTCGCAATCCCGCCCCTGCCTAAATTTAATTTCTGATACTTCTAATCACCGCCCTCAACCTTGTTTCATCACTAATGAATGATCCTTCCTGTCCCCCCGCTTCCATTCCATATTTTCTAACGATCCTTCTCGACGCCCCCTCACAATCTCATATTCAACGCTCCTTTCCACGCCCCCTTAATCTCAAACGCTCCTTCCCGCCGACTCTCTTCCTAAATATTATTATCTCTGGTCGATCTCCACTTAGTTATTCTTTTTATCTCTCGTCCTCTTTTTCGCTAATCCACCCCCTTTAATCACAGCTTAAACGTTTCTTTCTTTTCACGCCCCCCTTCAAATCAATCTCTCTTTTTAAAACTCGTGTGCTCCTTCCTGCCCACTTTCCTTACCTTACCTTTTTTTTTTCTTTACACCCCCTCATTTTTTAAAACCATGTTCACTTCTTTTTCCTCTCTAATAAATAAACGATTCTTTCCTTGACTCTCTCCTTATCTTTTAATTTTTCTCACGTCATTTCCCCCCCCCGCCGTTTTCCTTTTATATTATTTATTTTTGTGTGTGTGTGTGGGAAGATGAGGATATTCATGACGTAATGTCATTCATTCTACCTTCTTCTTCTTCTTCTTCTTTTTCTTCGATTTTTCTCTAAATTATTCTTTTGTTTGTACTCTTTTTATTAATTAAAACATCAGTTTCTAGCTTAACAAAATAATTAAGGTAGTTTTTCAACCTTGAAAAATAAATGAATAATAAATCTTCCCCCCCCCCTGGCCAAAGAAGAGAAAAGGACCTTGGCTGGGAGTGACTGATTTTTGTGACCCCCACAGGCTGCAGTACATAACAAATCTTTCAAACAAAATTGCATTCATTTTTATTTTTATTATGATAGATTCCGATGCCATTTAAAAAAAAAAAATGAATACAGAAATATTCTCCAAAAGATGATCAACTACATTTTTTTTCCTTTGAAGTGTCTTTTTTACTTTATGATCATAGAAAAAAAATGTGAAGCTTTGCAGGTTGTTTTTTTTTTGTTTTTTTTGTTTTTTAACTGCTTAAGAATGGGTGGATCTTTGGCAAGAGTCTGTTGTTTGAATTCGTCATAAAATGGGGGATCAGAATACAATACATCTTACTTTATAAATTATTCCCCCATTTATTGAATCTATCTAGTTTCTTCAACCTGACAACTCCCCCGTTTCTTGTATCCTTCAAACTTGTTTCCGAGATAGTGTACCTGAGCCGACATATTTTCGTTGTTCGTTTGCACCAAACAGAAATACAGTCTTATCGATTTTAATTACGTGTTTCCTGGTTTTACTTTTTCTTATAAACATTTCATTTTTAACTGTCTACTATACAACTGCATTCATTTCTACTTTTTCTTGTTTGTGGATTATTAGCTTTAAAGAACAAATATAAAATTTGTAACATTATTACAGTCGCTTTCTTCTGTATAATAATAACGTCTACAACATTTCATTTTTCTGTAAATTGTCGTTAATGAAGGTTTGAAGCTAATAATGAAAAATAAATTAAAAAAAAAATCCTAATGCATTTTATTTGCTACGGATGGACTGTAGCGATATAATTTGTATCTGATGCATTCCAACGCTCCATTTATTATTTTTATTAAGTAACAAGAATGTTCAGCGTGAATGTATAAGTTTAACATGGCATTATTTCTCGACAAGTCCACCATATCAAGAGAACTGATCCTGTTTTTCAATAGATGAAGATAACCTGTCAAGAATATTATTTGCTTGTTCGTTGAATTTTTTCATGTTATCCTTTCAATGAATCTATTAAAAATGCTTTCTGATATTTAAATATTTTTCTCCGTTAAAAAGGAAACCCGCGTACTGCGGCTTCTATATTTTTATGGATGAATGAATTCGTTTTGTTTGAAAGTTAAATAAAATAGAGTACATTGTGAGCTAAAACTAAAAAAAGTCAACCCCTCCCACACGTCGTATCTTATTGTTATGACGACTGTTAATTTCGATCAAATTAAAACAGAACAACATTGAATATTATTACCTTTTTAAGATTGAGATGAAAAGATATTTTTTAATACTTCTGGTTGATATTTTGTTATCGATTGATTTCAATATAGCTCTTTAAATGAAATTTAATTTAAAAACTTTCAAAAATGAGGTGTTTAAGTTTGTTCTTTCTAGAAGATTTTGATTTTGATTTTTAAAAAATGAAATTCGGTAACCTATAGTTTAATAAATATAAAAATCAGCTATTATTTAAATAAAAAAGTGATATAATTATTAAGGAAAATCAGGTTTTACATACACCTACACTGAATATTTATTTCTGTTCCACTACAACTGTTTGGTAATAGGTAGTAAAAAGAGAGTATTATTAAAAAACAAAAAACAAACTGATTTCTGATCTTGAAATGTTCTTTTCATTCCGAATAAGAAAGAATGATCAGAATCAAGCACAAGCTATAATTTCATGTCCATAAAATACCAAAATATTAACAGGATTAAAATAAATTAAAAAAAAAAAAATATCCAAAAAAACTGAATTTCAAGTACTTTCCAAAAACATTTACTGTCCTTCAACCTCCACATTAGCCGGCTGATCTATTTCTGTTTTCTTTAGAATAAACGACCTCAGATAATAATAAATAATTTTCTTTTTTCTTTTTTTTTTTTGTTTTTGTTTTACAAACTTAAGAACTTTGAATATCTAACCATTTTATTTTCTTCATAAGCGTTTTCCATTTTTAATTTTTCTTTACCTATTTTGTCTTTATTGGAAATTCAGGAATCCTTATTGTTCTGGGTATCTATCATTGCAATTTTATTCTTCACTTGTTTCTTTCTACCATTTTGAGGAAAAGAAAATGTTTTGTAATTTTCTTTTTCTCCATGGATGTCATTTATCCCTAGCTGGCAACCACGTCCAAGGTCATGCAGTAAATCACTTTGAACGAGGGACGAAATGGTCATCAATGATCCATAAGCCATACATTTTCTTTTCGTCTTTACAACAATAAAGAAAAATGAATGATAATATAAAATAACATATATGTCATATCAGATTGGCTCTCCCACATTCCTGCACAATTAGGTTAAAATTCCAATTTCTCCGCCTTAGTATTTTTTTAAAACTCTTTTTATTTTTTTTTACTTGGACAGACAAAAAATGAATTTATTAACCTTGATTGTTACAGTTAATGAAACTTAAAGATAATTACATTTTCACCTGTACCTGAAATCATTACTTCAATAGCCACCTTGAAGCTCTCCATGTCTAACACACATACATGCAATAGCATTTTTTTAACATAAAACTCCCACAATATCTTCTATTTCATTTTAGTAATTGTACATTTTAAATATTATATTACACACAAAATGTAATCTGCCACAATTTTTTTTTAATAGAGAATATTTTGTTTGCAGGTGTTTTGAATAGTTGCCTGTTATTGATATAAATTTTTTGATTGAAGGGGGGATGCATCTTGATAGTGTCAGTCTGTTGCTTGTGATGCAGATGACTTTTCCTTTCAGTTTTAAAATATACATTTTTATTGTTTTATGGATTACCATAACTAGAGAAATACTGAAGTCTTTTATTATTGGGGTTCCTGAAAAGAACAGTCTATCATTAATGAATTTTTAAAAGAAAACAGATAATAGTAATGAATGAAAGTTAAAAGAAGAAAAAAAATCCTACAGTTAAAAAAATATTTTAAGATCAAATTTTTCAGGTGACTTGATCTGTAGTTTTGTAACCAATCAAGATCTGTAAATTGCTTCTTGAAAGAACTGATTGTTGAATGTGTACCTGTCAGCACTTGTCAATTAGAATTAAGCTGTAGTTCTCTTTGTATGCATCTGAAACACACCCTATTTCAACTTGGAAGAAAAGTACCTCCTGATGTCAAAAACTTTCAAATAAAAATTATTTTATTTGTATTTTTTTTTTTTTTTTATAACAATTTAAATTTGAAAATTTCAATGTACACTGATGATTATCCTGTTTCAACTGTAAAAAAAAATGATTTGTTTATTTGGTAATTCATTTTTTTAATATAATAGATTGAATAATGTTTATGGCAATAGAAGATTTATTTCCTGTCAATATTCTAAAAATGACATTGATTAAACTGGCTGGAATGTTTCTGCATTTTTCTATACTGTTGGA